ACAAGTTGAAGAGGGTGATTTCGTCGACCAAAAGAAAAGATCTAAAGAATAGCCGTAAGCCCATCCAACAAGTCAACAGTCAATTTGATCTACGTGATTTATTATGGAGGAAAGGGAGGGATTTAAAATACTTACGGAAGACGACATATCCAAAGCCTTTTGAAAGCCCTCTTCGCCACAGACACTCAGTAAAGAATTTTCGGCGCCTTTTAGCTGATCGACGTACTTCATGATAACTTCCGAATCGATCATTTTCAGACCATGATGCATCAGTAGCGGGACCTTTCCCTTTGGGTTCATCTGAAGATACCAGCTGGGCTTGGAACCAACACTGATTAATATGCGGTCGTATCTGAAATCGAGTGATACAATTCATTATGGCGAGATGAAGACAAAACAAACATGTACGCATAAGGAGGGGTGGCAAAGGGTAATCCATGTAAGAATGTTTTGGACGACTTCTTATTAAAGAAAACGCCCACTTATGATACTTTGATCAGTGGGTATATCGGGTGCTAGCAGGAAAAGTCATATCCGCCTTGATTAATATTTTGTACAACACTCTAGCCTAATTCTATTGTCGTCGAAAAGTCAACTTGGTAGGTAAACAACTGAATTTAACAAAGCAGTATTAAACGTCCTGCTGTGGATTGATTACTACCACTCATCAACACCGTCCCTAACTGTGGATTCTCTCGAATGCGATAACCGGCAACGAGGAATTTGCGATGACAGGTCATTGAGTTCATAGGAAAATTCATAGTTTGCATTGCCTACTTGATATAGTGTGTGCATTTAGGGGTAGAAGGAGATATGAAATGAGCCGTATGATAGACTTTCTTACGGTATTTCGTGGTAATCCAGGGTGTATCGAACGCGCTGACAGAAGGGACATAAATGCATCTCATAGAGTGTGATCTTATCCGGGTTGATGGTGGGTTCTGGATCACCTGGAATAAAGGGATAGGGAATAAGAAGATCATCCGAATGAAAACGTTGTCCGCTGTAATGAAAAAATCCACCAGGGTTAAACCACCGATGAATTTGATTATTGTGAAAAGAGCCAAACACTGGAGACGAGGTTTTTGTCTGAACTTACATCGTTAGCCACCTAGGAGTAAGCTGCAGCCCAAGAAAGGGCTGCCCGAATGACTTGCTTAACAGACGTCTTCCGGACAACTATTATCTTAACCAAAACATTTTTTACAAACGCTTTTCTTGGTGAACTTGTTTTTTATGGGACGACAAAGGTGAACTCAATAGTGAATGGGTACTTTTAAAGCTCCATGTAAAAGTCCGACTCTCTGAGTGCTGTTTCCATCGCAGAAAACAATGGCTGAATACGATTAGAAAACTTTTTTTCTTGACTGAATAGAAGTAACTAATGCTGTGTTCAGTGATTCCGCTGAAAATATATGGGACGATATAAGTGATTTTTTATTTTCTCATCTGATATGGAGGAAATACAACATGCAGCGTCTAAGGCAGAATCCCGCTTTTACCACAACAATCAAACAAACTCTGCTAATGCCGTTTCAGTGACCGGAATTTCGTTAGACTCGATTCTCTCCCTATTCCTTAAAGGCGTGTAGATGATACTAAACTGAGTGAAGAAACCCTTCAAACTATGTAAGTTTAGGGCCTATTACATATATGTTTTTCCGTAAAACAGAGTGTTTTGATCTCTGCATGAGCGCTTACTTGAGACCGCGCCTGTAGCTATTCACAGAAAACGAATTCGTAAGCAGCGGGACCTCATGGAAGGTGGATATTATATAGGACATTAAGGCAAATAAATTAAACGACTTAATTCCAAGAACATTTTTCAAACTTAGCAAACAATGGAGGTCCTTATGCTTACCTTCTTTCAAATGTTGACCCGCGTCGGAAGGCATTCGTAGACAGAGTTTCTTTACAGTGCGTGAGTATGCAACTTCAGTAAGAGGCTCAATCTATATCTAACAGACAAACAGCGCGGACGATAGGTATTGGTCATGAATTTCGACCGCTGATTGGTTTGAGGCAGTTCGTTAAAACAGTCCTTGCGCGCGTCTATTATATCAGCGATGGCGGTGGATCGATGAAATTACGAGAAGTTCTCAAAACCTATTTACGAGCATAGGTACAAGTTCTTTAGTGATTTAGACTACTCAATCAGACGATGTGGCCCGGCAGACACTTCTGGCGGAGAATTCTCACTTATTTCCAACTGTAACGTTGAGGTTAGGAAAGAGACATTTCGTGTCTTTCTTACCAGTCAGTGAATCGTCTGTGTAGATACATTGGTTGTGATGCGTTTACCAATAGCCCTTAGCATATCACAAGTACTTAGGTTCTGTGAGTAAATTGTATAAAAGGGAGCGTAAGAGGATTCAGTGGAGGTGGAAACTTCCGGTACTAGAATGAACAGTACAGTCGACAAAATGAAGCAATAGTATATTTACCACATCAAAACAGAACGAGACAGAACGAACGCACCATAATTGAGAAAAAATTTGCATGAAATTTACGCGTACGAGGAATTATCGGTCAGATGTATCGAGGTTACCGCACTCGAGGTAAACAA